TTGTTACTACATTTGATTCTATGCTAAGGCATTAGAAATATTTTCAAGAGTAGAAATTATGAAAAGATGCTAAAAAACGTAGAGACTTGAAATTGCCAAAAAGGGAAATTTCATATATTCCGGAATGTATTTACAAAGGCACAATAAAAACGGCCTCAAAATAAACAAAATATATACACAATACAAAAACTAAAAAAGTTCTAAGGCATTCATGCCTGATCTTTGCCGGGGCCCGATTCGCCGCTAGAATCGTCAGAGCCTTCGGATCCCTCGGAACCCTCAGAGCCCTCTGCACCTTCGGGCTCGAAAAGTTTCTTTGCCTCAGCCTCAAGCTTTATTTCTTCCTCGATCTCGGCTGACAGGTCGAAGCCTCGGGCATGAATAGTCGCCTCACGTATTCCGCATTGGTCTTCAGGCGGGCCTCGGCTACTTCAACGTCAGCCTTGTATTGGGCCACCATCTCCTCGACATCGGCAGAGGTTGTCTCCAGCTTGGATTTCATTGCTTCGAGCTCTTTATCGAGGGCGTCCCGTGCTGCGACAACCGAGTTCAGTTGTGCTCGGAGATCTTTATTCAGCTGAGCCCGCTTGTCAGCTTTCTCCTTCACCACCCGAATTTGAACTTCTACCAAAGACAGCTTTGCCTTGGTGGTTTCCTTCTCCGAAGCCAACAGATCCATCTTGCTCTTCCACCCATCAGCCATGGCCTGGATCTCGTTCATCTCCTTTCGGAGTTGGTCGACCTGGTCGATCTTCTGTTGGACTTGTGAGGTTTTATCATTAGCCACTACGACTAGTTCCTCGTTTCTAACTTTAAAGACCTTTACCTTTTTACCCAAGTCGGCATATTCGCCTCAGGGCCGATTCTTCCTTCTGAGCCCTATCCAGCTCGACCTAAAGGTCCTTGATGACCCCGTCTTGTTGCTCACTGAGGAGCTTGTACATATCCCTTTTTTGAGCTTGCTCCTTGAGCTCAAGCTCGAGCTGGTTGACCTCGACACGGTACTAGAGAAAGCTTTCATGGTGAAGTACCGAGGCCTGCAAAGTAATAAAAGTCGCGAGAGATATCAAAACCTAAGTAAAATTTAAAAAGACGTAATGATGCCTTACCCGGTTCAGCGTATGTTGTGCCACATTGAAAAGACACGGCACATCCATCTCATTCATTTTTTCCTGGTCTTCCTCGGTCACCAGGCATCAGAGGTGGCTGGCTACTTCCACGGGAGCAGATAGAACTCGGGAATCCTCTGGGAAAGTAAGGACAACCGATCTCTTCTGACCAGGGTCCACACTCGGAACAAGAAACTGATTAATCAATTTTGGGCTCGAACTCGGGCCACCAGCTTCCAAAGATGTATCCTTCCTCGGGATTTCCAGGTCACTCAGCCCGGAAAAATCTTTCAAAGTAGACAATTCCACGCTATCAAAGAAAGAATGAAGGGGATCGTCTGCTCCATGAACCTCTTCATTGGACTTCTCTTTTCCTGCTTGGGCCTCCTCAGGCATGGACTCGGTGTAGGAGGGCGTCGCCATAATTTCTATTACACCGGGCACTTCCTTCAGAGCACCCCTGTCTCCATATCGACCTCTCGAGTCTGAGGGAGGTCAGCCTCACGAGTCTCCCCCTCAGCTGCTACCTGCTCCCCGGGAGGGGTCGTTTCATGGGCGATAAAAATGAGGTCTTCTTTCGATTCATCCTTGAGCTAGAGAAGCGAATCGGAGTCTGGCACCCGGGAGTTGGTGCTCTTCCTGGGCTTGCAAACCACCCTCTTCTTTGGTTTCACCTTAGGACCTGGGGAGCCCGAAGGTTTTCTTTTCCTATTTTTCTTTCCCCCGCGGTAGCCCCGGGCTGTCCCGCAATGGAGGGATCAACAGATAAGGATGCGTCTTCGTCCTCTTCCAAAGGCCCAAGCTCGGTATTCTTAGGAAAACCTATAAAAGAAAGAAGAAAGGTTAGTATGATGTGATCTAAGGACACAATAATAGCTATTTGAAGGAGAAATTGACATTTAAGGAAGGGTTGCACTTACGAGATGCATTCCACTTCTCGGGGAATGGCATGAACTCGGGAGGGATCAGATCTTCGGTCTTCACCCGAACGAAGAGCCCCTGCCAGGCTCGGTCTCGATCTTCGTCAATACTCGAAAATGGGGCCTTGCTGGCTCGATGAGTAAGCTTGATTAGTCCCCCTCGAAAAATTCGAGGACTATATAGGCGGAGCAGGTGGTCGATGGTGAACTGACGAGACTTGATGTTATTCACAAAGTAACAGAGGAGGATACGATCCTCCATAGATACGGGTGGATTTTCCCAATGCACACCTCGTATCTCTTGCAAAAATCTGAAACAACTTGGTTGACCGGGTCCAGTGTGAAGGGGTAAGTGTAAACACTTAAGTACCTCTCCACGCGGGTAGTAATAGCATCCTCGGGCTCGGGGACTATACGTCCTTGACTTCCCATTTACAATCCTCTCGGATCGCGGGAAGGACGTCTTCGGTAACGGAGCATATATACCTCGATGCTCCTTCACCCCGGTCCTATTTGGATGAGGGTTTCTCGACCTTGAAGTCGTCCGCAATTGAACAACCCCTGAGAATATACATTTTCAAGGGGGGCTCGGGAGTTGGTTTGGTGGCAGCCACTTCGAGAGCAGCTGTCTCGAGAATTATTTCGGGAGCGACCGCCTCAGTACTGGCGGCCGATTTGGAAGATGAAGAGGCAGCCTACTGAGGGACTGACTTGAAAATTTTTGCCATTACTATCTGAGAAAGTTTGAAGATTTAAAGAAAAAGTATAGAGGTTTGAAGGAACAAGTTTAAAGGCTGAAGAATAGAGTAAGAAGATTCGAAGAAAATCTGGGTAAAAACCTAAGAACAACTATGAGGATTTGAAGATCAAAGATGAATATATGAAGGTTTGAAGGAAATTGGTGATAGTTAGAGAATTCGAAGGTAGAAGCTTGATCGAAAAGTGGAGAAAGAACAGGGGGTAGGAGCTTTTATAGGGGAAGTAGGCGACACTTAACATTTTGGAGGTAACCAGCCGATGATTGACACGTGTCCGAAGTCAGAACGACGCGACTGATGGGACGTTTCGACTTCTTCGTCGTAACGTACGGAGGAAGGAACCAGAGAACATCTATCGTTTCTCATCGTTTCGGCAAACCTACTCTCTGAGAAACGAGGGGACTATCTGTATACGTGTAAAACTGAGGCTAATGAGCACCCCGATTTTTCGGTGAGGAAAACGAATCAAGGACATGACTACAAGGAATCGGAATCGAAGCCAGGAGCCTCTCGTAACAAGGCCCGAACAAAACACCTTCCCTCGGAGCCATTGAGATCACGCCCCCGGGTTCGGTTCGAGTTCCAAGACCTCGAAAAATATTACCAAACGACCGCACACGATTAACAAAGAGTTGTGATATCCGTGTCCAACCGGATATCACGGCGTGAATCTCGGCCGTATCGGCAGCAGATAAGTGATTAGCGAAAAGGAAGATTTTTACCTTTTTTAGAGTTGTACTTATGGTAAAACTTCCCTACTATATAAAGGGGAAGCTGATTATTCAATAGGGACATTGTAACATGTATATCAAGGGAATGTACATTTGTTTTCTCTGGTGCTAAAGGTTATTCAAAGTTCTTAATTTTGTTCATAGTTCTTCATAAGTGTTTGGTTCCGAACCGAAGGCAGGCTAATTGTTAGGCCCACAACCGAGCTTGAACTCAACGCTACTACTGGTTTGGCTGTTTATTCTATCTTTAATTTGCTCATCTAATGCTATTAATCAGGTGTATTGAATTAGTCTACATATCTTTCAAACCGCATATAAATTCAATTGTTATCCATTTTTTTTAGACTAAACAATTCTATTTTACATGATTGAGGTTCAGGATGCTAACTCGCCCTCTTCTTCTTTCTATTGTATATGCTGTTGGAATATTTTTATTGAGTCGCATTCAACTTATGGGTTGCTAATTAGCTTATTAGCTAATTCTCCATCTAACATCATAAATATGTATTTATAAATACACCATTTATGGGTAAAGAAAAGAAATTCTTAATTTCATTGGGTAATAAAAGGCCAGAGTTAGATATACTTTCTGCAGTCTTTACGAAGAAGGTATATTGTCTGACGCAGAAAGTATATTGTCTGTGGAGATCAAAGAAACTCATCCACTTAAGTGAGAGTTATTTTTACCGATACGGCAATCGAAGTCGTAGTAAAAGAGATCTACTTGTCGTAGAGTAAAAGAGATCAGCTTTGCGACGAGATATCCTCAAGTTTTCTAACCAATGATGGATAATTAATGAGTTTAATTTTAATATTTTTTAAAAAATGAGGGTTTCTTAAGTTTGGGAGACTAGAAATTTTTCCTAAAGTGATTATATTCAAGAAGTCACATCGATTAACCCGTTTTTTATCCGTATTGAATATGAGTCGGGTCAGATAATTTAACCGTTTTTGCATTACTCGTTTTCAACCCGACCCATATCTGAACCGACCCGCCCGTTTACCACCCTTACTTTTAACCTTGATTGACCGGATATCCAACATATTCCATTAATGTACGTGACCTATCCTCTTCATACTGAAAGTCCATCATATATCATTAGGTTAAGATGTTCTATAATAACTTGTAAATTGCTATAACAGTTGTAATTGGGAGATCTAAAAATGAAGTAAACATCATGCTATAACGGGCGTGTCATACATATTAACTGTAGAGTATGGAACACAAGTACGTAATCTAGTAACCAATTAGGTGCTCATGCTATTAATTGTGATGACAATTCATCTGTTCTGGACACACTTGTTGGAAAGATAGAAAAAGAAAAAAGAAATCAGAAGTCAGGCGGGGCCCATCTGTATGGGAATCTTAGGTGACGTGTTCAAAATGGTTTTCCCACCCGACCCGACCCAATGCAACCCGAGTCCAATTATTCTCTCAGGCCAAGCCAACTCTATAAATAAGTGCTAAACGGAACCTTACATAGGCTTGAGGAGCAAACGACAAAAAAGCTTCTTTAAAGCCCCTTTTCATACCTCTCTAGTCTCTTCCAAATTATCTAAAGAAACAACCAGAGGACCCATCTCTCCAATCGATTACTACAGTTGCAAAATAGAATGGTTGGTCCATCCATCAACTCCCGTAACGTTCCTCTTAAATTCCTTTGTAGTTATGGTGGCAAGATTATCCCCCGTCACACCGATGGCAAACTCCGTTACTATGGTGGTGAAACTCGTGTCCTCTCCGTTCATCGTTGCATTTCTTTTGCAGGTAATTACTTTTTCTATTCCTTATAATGAAAAACTATTTATGTTGTTTATAAAAATTTCACCTTGTCTGTTTTATTTTATATGATGCTTTTCTAATTTTGTTTTTTAAAGTAACATATTTTGTATTCTAAATTTTTTTAAACTTTCATTGTATTCTTATTAACATGTTAGTGTAAAAATATCATAACTTCTTTAAAAATAAAAGTTCTTATTAAGAGTACCTTTTACATGTGTTAAAAAAGTGTTTATGTTTTTAGACTATGTTGAAATTTTGCAACTTTTTTAGCATAAGTTGCTTAGTTTTAAGATGAATTTTAATTTAAACTTTCTATTAGATTGTTTAAGACAAGAGTGAGTTGCTCTAGTGATAAGCACCCTCCACTTCCAACCAAGAGATTGTGAGTTCGAGTCACCCCAAGAACAAGGTGGAGAGTTCTTGGAAGGAGGAAGCCAATGGTCTATCGGAAACAGCCTCTCTATTCCAGGGTAGGGGTAAGGTCTGCGTACACACTACCCTCTCAGACCTCAGTAGTGGGATTATACTGGGTTGTTGTTGTTGTATTAGATTGTTTAAGTTAGTTGAGATATTTTAGGTTTTTTGAATTTTAAATTATGTGAATTTTTTGTCCTTAATTAGCTATTTAAAGCCTTGTTATGCTTAATAAAATTATTGAATTTTTTTTTCAATCAATACTTTAAATCTTTTTGTTGCTTCATCTTTTAAAAAAACCAACACCATATATGAAATCAAATACAAAAAGGATAGTTTTTTATTTTTTTCTTATTCTTTTAATTAATTTTATATTTTTGATTGTTGTTATAGAGCTAATGGTGAAGCTAGGGGAGATGTGTGGAGCATCAGTGAGTTTAAGGTGTCAACTGCCAAGTGAAGATTTAGATGCTCTTGTGTCTATCACATGTGATGAAGATCTAGCCAATCTCATTGAAGAATATGATCATGCTGCAACTCCATCGTCATCTCTCAAGATCAGAGCTTTTTTATTACCACCCAAATCTACAAAATTAAAACTTGTATCTCCTCCACCTTCCATTTCTTCCACCTCATCCACCAACACCACCATTAGCAATCATGATGCCACGTCACCGGAGTCGTCATTTTGTTCCACATCTGCTAGTACTTCTACTATCCTCAACTCATCAAAATATAAAAATTGTCCAAGATCATATAAAGAAACATCATATTCGTGCGTCCGTCATACTAGAACAAGATCATTACCGCTCATGTGTCACGAGAAAGTTGCCGGAAAAATTCCTCAATATGTTTACCATGGTCATGGGAATAACAGTGGCCATATTTACTTGATTCACCATGGCCACCACTGGCAATAATAGCAGCTATTTTCCACGGACAAGGGAGAGAGCAAATGGGACTACTCGGAACATATATACTTTTATAAATAAATAAATAAAAAGAAGAACAGAGGATGGAAGAATATATAATATATTTGATGTATGAAGAGTGTTTGTCATTAACAGGATTGATATATATTTTTGTGTCAATCCGTTCTTAGCAAATTCAATAGAAATATAAATGAGTCCCAATTTTTTGATATATAGTACTGTGTACCGCGGATTAATTACCTCACCTCTTTATGTGATTGATGCGTTCGACGTTTAATCTCTTTTTCGTTTTTTCTTTTATCTTCTAGACATTTTTCCCATTGCCAAATCCTAGAAGTGATCGAGTCATCATGTGTAATCATTTTTACCTCTTTAATATATTTTGTCTGTTCATTTTCTCTCTGTTTGTATATTGTACTATGGTATATATCGTTTCTTCCTTTTGTTTCTTTTGCTAATTAAGTATCTATCTTGTTTTGTGTATTGCAGGTATAGGATGAAAAGCAATTAACGGGGAATTTCTAGTGACCTTAAGATGGATATTAAATGCCGCACATATATAGGTGATTATCTGAAATGTTTCTCCAAGTTCATTTTACAAATTCGATACAAATTATATTATTGTTATGTCTATAAAATCTTCGTTATATTTACATAATTAACTATTCCATGTAGCTGCTAAATCATTGCCATGAAAGGCAGAGTTCTATAACTTCTATAGCTAACAATGTAAAAATATTTACATTATTGGGTCATTCCCCTGCATCCACATACACGCCCTGCTGGTTGCTACAATAATGTGAAATTTGTGAATGTAAGTGTAGATAAGTAAAATCCTAAAAAGTACATACTTCACATGATAAATGGATAATGAAGTACTAGTTTTAAAACAACATTTGCCTATAATGTGCGAACATCTTATTTTAGATATTAGGATATATCAGCAATTCAGCATTGATTTTCTGAAGTACCTGTATTTCAATCATCTTATGGTGCAACTTGTGCTTCATTTGATGTGAACTTCAAAAGAAATTAAACTATGACGTAATATCCCTTACTGAACACCCTTATCATGGATTTCAATAGAAATTAGCCCGAAATTGATAGGGCAATACTAGTCAGTCGAAGACGCTTATTATGGATCTCAACTCATGATCCTTCACAAGAAATAAGAAACTACGCATATTCATTAATCCTAATGGTCAATATTAAATTTCTTGTGGATAATCTGAATTTAAGGCCAACATTTTTCCTAGACAGCCAACTTTCGCGGCTTTGTTCTTCCATTGAAATTGAGAGGACCAAAACTTTGTTCCTAATTAGAAGAACCTGTGAAAGAATCATGATATTTAGCCTCCTATTTTGTCTTACTTTAGTTTATTGCAAAGGATGATATTTAGTTGCTTGGTGATAAAACATTCCTGGCCAAGTGTACCAACTGGTGGTTTTCGTTTATGAGCAGATTCAAGTGAAGAAGAAAGAGCTTTGGTGACCAAAAGCTCCAAAATGAATTCAACTTAATTGGATTTATTGGATGTGGCAGTTAGAGGGAAATAAATAATTGTTCTTTTTATAATAATTTTGAAAACTTTATTGAAGTGAAGAACGTGGTGTCATCACCATGGGGCCATGACAGTTGTAAAAGAAAGGATCCATTATTTTCAAACACATTAAAAGGTCCAAATATTATACTAATATAATTAAAAATAAAAAGAAAAGAAAAGGACTTCTTTTTTCTTTTTGACCGATGAGATGTGGAGGAATAATGGCTCCATAAATTATGGAGTTAGCCACTCCACAATCCATTCATGTAGCACTCGAAGGAAAAAGATAGAATTCAGACATCAAATCAATAAAGCAAATATTTATTAAAAATAGAATAGAAAACCAAAAAAAACGGAGAGAGGAGGAAGATGAATTGATGAAGATAAAGAAAAAGTGGTTTAAGGTTAACCTGCCCCACCACTGCCTCATCTTTTCTGCTCTCAGTAGAGAGCAAAAGAAGTTTCGAATTCTCTTTTGACTAAGATGGTGGTATGTCTGCATCAAAAACCCATAAATTATTAAGAATGAGATCATAATTTTTGTGGAAAACAAAAAAAGAATTAGGAGGGACACAATCTTTTACTCCCTCTTTTTTAATTTATGTGAACTTATTTCTTTTTTAGTCCGTGCCAAAAAGAATGACCTATTTTCTTATTTAGAAACAATTTACCTTTATGCAATGATTTATAACCACACAAAATATATGTGTTTCATTTTACACCACAAGTTCAAAAGTCTTCTTTTCTTAAATTTCGTATCCAGTTAAACGGGTTCACATAGATTTAAACGAATGGAGAAAAAGTTTTTAGTGGAGAAGTTTGGTTCAAACAAATAAAATGGCGCGTGAACATTCTCCTGATTGATTAGCAACTAATACGAGTAATTGTTAGCAAACAGTTGCTTCTTTTATTTCTTTGGGATTGGGAAACGATCAATCAATGAATCTGGATTACTCGTAATTATGAATATGCGAAGGCTTTCTTTTTCAATATTGAAACCTTTACGATTAGTTCTGTGTTCGGTCAAAATCGATTTGATTCAGTCGTACAAATTGATCGAGACGATAATGTTTCGATCAAAGGATATTTGCATGACAAGTTCGGTCAAGGTCCGAAGTAAGGGCGTCGAGCTTCAAGCTCTAAGACCGATCAATGACAAGCTCGGTATCATTATCGAGCTCATATCCAAATCGAACTACGAAGCAAAGCTGAGATTATCGAAGATGCATAGACCGACCAACACTCACCCCGAATACCGAGACCCCAAGTCAGAATCGAGCTCGGACCAAGGCCGAGGGCTCGATCCAATACCGAGCTCGAGCCAGTATCGAGCTCGCAGACAAAGGCCGTTGCAACCGCACTATAGGAGAGAATCTTGGCAGAAATCGAGGAAAAGACAGTACATCATGGGCTTTTCACTACGTATTTTTTATTGTATATAAAATAGGATCCATCTACTATAAGGGGGGCATGGATTGTAAGCAAGCGGAGAGGATAACAAAAGTTTTTTCTCATATTGAAAGATATCCCCTTATATTTTTTTTCCTTTATCTTATTCGTTCTTCTTCTCACTATTCTCATTCTCATAGTCAAGAATACACATATTTCTATTTCTCTATACGATTTGTATTAAATTATATCATATATCCTTAGAACCATACACAAATTTAACTCTATCCAATTTTTCGGGTAAACAGTTTGGCGCCCACCGTGGGGCTAAGGGTAACAGTGGTTATTTGATACAAATCTGCAATATACACCAGTTTGCAACTTCAAATCAACAATGGCAAACCCTCGACTGATAGATTTACCTATTGACCACGAAGCCGGCCTTCAAGATAAAACCAACAACTTGACACCCAGGGCCAGAAGGTGAATTAACGATGTCACCTAAGCTCGAGTCGAAGTACCGCTAGATATCAATTCACAAGTGGCTCTTGAGTCTAACCAACGTTCCGAACCGGAAAAAAGCATTCAGGGCGGTACTCGATCCGTAGCTCGAGACACCCATAACGTGGAGGAGATCGGAGTCAGCTTATGGATGATCTTCGAGATGTTACAAGCCCAACAAGTAGCGATAGCTCAGTTGCAGAGCCAAACTCAGGTACAAAGCAGACCAGAGCCCAATCCGCTTCGAGAAATCACCCACAGAACGGAACCAGCCATATTGAAGTCAAATGAGCAAGAATCGGGGACTACTCCCGAAATTACTAAAATGCTCGAGGAACTCACAAAACGAGTCAAAGCCAACGATAAAAAAATAGAAACATATAATTTCAGGGTCGATCAGATCCCGGGAGCTCCACCAATGATAAAAGGGCTAGATTCGAAAAAATTCATTCAAAAACCTCTTTCCTCGAGTGCAGCCCCAAAACCAATCCCCAAAAAATTTCGTATGCCCGAAATACCCAAATATAACGAAACGACTGACCCCAACGAGCACGTCACTTCTTACATGTGTGCCATCAAGGGCAATGATTTGGAAGATGATGAGATCGAATTTGTATTATTGAAAAAATTCAGCGAAACCCTGTCAAATGGGGCAATGGTATGGTATCATAATTTACCATCTAACTCTATTGATTATTTTGCTATGCTCGCAGATTGCTTCGTAAAAGCACATGCCGGAGCCATTAAGGTCGAAATCAGAAAGTCGGAACTGTTCAAGGTAATACAAAAAGATAATGAGATACTAAGGGAGTTCGTATCTCGTTTTCAAATGGAACGAATGGATCTGCCACCAGTCATAGACGATTGGGCTGTTCAAGCTTTCACTCAAGGTCTGAACGAGCGGAGCTCGATGGCTTCACGACGACTGAAGCAAAATCTGATCGAGTACCCAGCTATTACTTGGACCGATGTGCACAATCGATATCAATCCAAAATAAGAGTCGAAGATGACCAGTTGATTTCTAGGTCCGTTATGAAAAGAACTACCAAGCAAAAATCGACCAGAGATCGATACCAGCCATATAGCGAAAACGATACTACTGCTGAGTATCCGAGGCCTCTTTAAAATCAACCTCGTATACTGGGGGGATTTATCATTGAACGCATCTGTGATGATTATCAAATTCGGTGCAAAGGAAGTTACTTTGTTATGACAAACAGTGTCTCAACAGGAAACATTGTAAGAGTCAAATGATCAAAACGAACCATGCTTATGTAGTTGGCCCGAGCCCTGACGCAAAACATGAACACATGTATAATGACTTTCAAAGATAAACTTCTTTACCGATATTCTATGTTCAAAATTTATTATGCAAACAGGATCGAGTTCGAGCAAGCGCTCACTCGACCATTACGCCTACAGGCTACATTATTTTGAGTTCGAATCATTCACTCGACTACTAAGCCTACGGGCTACTTCGACCATTACGCCTACGGGCTACATTGCATCGAGTTCGAATCATTCACTCGACTCCTAAGCCTACAGGCTACTTTTATTTCGAGTTCGAGCAAGCACTCACTCAACCATTAAGCCTACGGGCTACTTTGACCATTACGCCTACGGGCTATATTATTTCGAGTTCGAATCATTCACTCGACTACTAAGCCTATGGGCTACTTTTATTTTGAGTTCGAGCAAGCACTCACTCGAATATTAAGCCTACGGGCTACTTTGACCATTACGCCTACGGGCTATATTATTTCGAGTTCGAATCATTCACTCGACTACTAAGCCTATGGGCTACTTTTATTTTGAGTTCGAGCAAGCACTCACTCGAATATTAAGCCTACGGGCTACTTTGACCATTACGCCTACGAGCTACATTATTTCGAGTTCGAATCAATCACTCAACTACTAAGCCTACGGGCTACTTCGACCATTATGCCTATGGGCTACATTGCATCGAGTTCGAATCATCCACTCGACTGCTAAGCCTACGGTCTACTTTTATTTCGAGTTCGAGCAAGCACTCACTCGACCATTAAGCCTACGGGCTACTTTTATTTCGAGTTCGAGCAAGAACTCACTCGACTATTACGCCTACGAGCTACATTGCATCGAGTTCGAATCATTCACTCGACTACTAAGCCTACGTGCTACTTTTATTTCGAGTTCAAGCAAGCACTCACCCGACCATCACACCTACGGGCTACATTATTTCGAGTTCAAATCGTTTACTCGACTACTAAGCCTACGGGCTACTTTTATTTCGATTTGAAGCAAGCACTCACTCGACCATTACGTCTACGGGCTATATTATTTCGAGCAAAACTA